TGTATATATTATGCTATCAGTCATTCTTGCTGTTATGATTATTTCTGTTAAATATTTGATAATTTCTATTTTTGTATTGCAATGAGTGGTAAATAGTTGAAATATGTGAAAGAAAACTATTCTTTTATAAATTTTAAAGATACATACTCAATACTTTTCGACAGTTCATAAATCTATTCTCGTTTGTATTATTTGTTTCGCGGTGATATAAAATAATCTAATTTTTGATTGGATCATTTTGTCATTATTTTGAGTGACTTCATCTATATAATAGAATAATGGATTTTTTTTATGATGGATTAATTAGACATCCAGACACTTATTTGACTTATTTAAGATGACTGCTGTTTCGAAAAGTTTTTCTCGTATTTTGTTCAGTTGTAATTCATTATTAAAAGTTAAAAATGTCACCACACCATTTGTTGTACGATTATCATCAACTGAAACAGTAAAAGGTAACATAAATAGGGTGGGTATATAAATCAAATTAGAAACATTTAATTTTGTATGTTTTTTGTTTTGTTTTAGAACATGGTAAAACAGACCAGTATCAATATTTACTGACGGAGATTAGAGGTGAAAAACAAAATGTTGCACTTATACAACTCAATCGTCCAAAAGCATTTAATGCTCTATGTGATGGTCTCATGAAAGAAGTATGTAAATAACATATGACGTAAAAGTCTTTGAAGTAATATCGAGCCTCATTTCTCATCGACGAAACGTATGAAGTTTTTTTGTTTGAAAAGAAAAAAGACTGGAGAACAACAGACCAAAAAAGATTTAAATTTGAGCCTCCATTTGTTGTGATCAAATTCAAATACGAAGCAACACTGAATACATCTTTGCAATTTAATTTTTCAATACTTTTCCCCGCTGGTTTTGCGGTGTCGCGTGTTTCGGAGTCTGAACTAAACATAATCACAAATAAACCTTTGCAAGCTCTATTCAATGGTGTATTTGAAGTTTAGTTTTGATTACGTTTTTTATATGAAAATTCTATTTTTTTTTTCATCAATTGGAATATCGATTTAGCGCAAAAATGAGAAAAACTTTTCTTTTCTCTTACTTTTTGATGCTTTTGTAAATGAAGTCATTTACAAAAGAATCAGAAAATAAGCAAAAAAATTTTGAAAGATATCCTTTTGATAGAGATTTTTACAGTCTATCCAATGGTTTACTTCATTTATGTCTAATAGGTTTAGGAGTGGTATTATTCTCGAATAATTCTTTTTTTTTTAGTGTTGCGGAGGAACCTTTTAGGGTTAAACGAAAAAATGCTCTCGTGCAATGGAAATTGATTGAACAAAAAATTATTTCCTACATAAGTTTGTTCTCGAGACTTTGTTCTTTTAAACAAAATAAAATTTCAAGCCAATCCTACATTTCGTCGCTCAGAAATAAGGCCTGACATTATTTCGAAGACTTTTTTGTATCGTATGTTATTGTCTGAAAGTATCCCTATCGACAAATGACTTTTTTTTTGTTTTAATTTTAGTTAAGTTTAGCATTGGAAAAATTCGATAAAGATGAAAAAATTGGTTGTATTGTTTTAACAGGCAGTACAAAAGCATTTGCCGGTTAGTTAATTTATTTAAGTTTTTAACTATTTGAAATGCGTGCGGTTTGTTTTAGCTGGTGCTGATATCAAAGAAATGCAAAATAAAACTTTATCAAATGTTGTTAGTAGTAGTTTTCTTGATCATTGGGCACAAGTAGCAAAAGTAAAAAAACCAATTATAGCTGCTGTTAATGGTTTTGCAGTATGTATACTTGCCTACTTGTATATTAGTAGAATAAACAAGAATTAATTCATTCAATATTTGCAGCTTGGCGGTGGTTGCGAAGTTGCAATGATGTGTGATATTATTTATGCTGGTGAAAAAGCAGAATTTGGACAGCCCGAAATAGTGATCGGCACAATACCAGGTACCATACTATATTTTTTAATAATATTTGCTGAAGTAATTATTTTTCATTATTTAGGTGCTGGTGCTACTCAGCGATTGCCTCGCTTTATTGGAAAATCAAAAGCAATGGAAATGGTACTTACGGGCAATAGAATCAACGCTCAGGAAGCTGAAAAACTAGGTAAATTTTGCACATAATCTTCAAGATTAGTGTAATTGTTTTACAAACTCTTTCCAGGACTTGTAAGTGGAGTATTTCCACCAGAAAAATTAGTTGATGAAGCAGTTAAAACTGCGGAAAAAATATCCAGTCATTCCTCACTAGTTGTTCAATTAGCTAAAGAAGCTGTTAATGCAGGTAAGCGAAAACTTCTTTTATTAATCAAGAATAGGAACTCAGTTTTGTTTCTATTTTAGCGTTCGAAACAACATTGGCCGAAGGTAATCGTTTAGAAAAACGTTTGTTTCATACAACGTTCGGTTTGGTAAGTGAGGATGGACTCCTTCCATAACTCTAACTTTTTCATAATAAATATATTATATTTTTAGTCTGATCGTAAAGAAGGTATGACAGCATTCTTAGAAAAACGTAAACCAAATTTTACCGGTCAATAGATGTTATAGGAACAGTTTTCTTTTAAAGTTTCAAGTATTCGGCTATTTTCATATAACATGGATTTTTTTGGTATTTTTTTTTAACGAAATCTGTTTTTTTTCTCTTCGATTCTTTAAATTTACACTGTGATGGTGTGATTATACACATTTTGCTGCTGATTTTATAAAAATATTTCTTGCATTATTGTAAAGATGATAAAGATACACAACCTAGTTGCTAGTGAGCAAGTGCAAAATGTCTTGAGATTGCACTGTGTTATAATTTACTGTATTATTATGGAAAATTCTGATAATAATAGGTATCACATAGTAAATTCTGATGAGCATAAACAACGAAAGGTAACAGGTGTAACGTGTGGTGCAATAGTCGAATAAAGAATAAAGGACAAAAGCATGATCTATCTGAGTTGCTCTTTCGAACCAAAAAGCAATTACTCAATCGACTTCTGGGAGTCATGATAACTACTTTAGACCTGTTTCTATCAGGTATCCTGCGCTATTTTGCGTGCACTGATATGAGTTTCGTTTTGGCATTACCTACTGTTCTGGCCTCATTTGCATCCATTTTTATCTTTTAATGCTGATTTCTGTGCAATCGATTCTTGTCCAGCCTATAGGTTAAGTATCTGCATACTGAGAGTACCAACAAAAAACGAGAGCGAGCGGTGACTTATAGTAATAATCTGGTTAATAGATCGAGGATTAAAATAATTTAGTCTCTTGATTTAGCTCTTTTTTTTAAAATTTCTACTCTTTAGGTGATTAGGGTAATTTAATTTAATCAGAGCAAATAATTTCCTTGTTTCCATTTTACTTCAGACTATTGACTATCGGCGCCCACAATTTATGTAATAACTTTGGGGAATTCGCTTTTGTTTACTTACCTCGACACACCCGCTCCATAGCATACTCACTATAGAGCTCAAGCAATCGGGAGAAAGAACTCTTATCAGACTAACCTTCTAGCTAGAGCTGCAGTTGGTAGATAGTAACAATATCGTTAACCATGCTAGAAACTCGTCACGAGCTTCATAAACATCCTGCTTTTCCTCTTGCTTGAAACATTCTACTTTTTGAAATTTTTTCCTCTTTTAGTAAATTTTACGTACAAAGATTTGATTGTTCTGGTTTCTTTCTTTGAAGTTTCCAACTTAATAGTAAAATCCTGATCTATGACTCTAGTTGCTACTTTGATATTTTAAACTGTGCTATTTCCCTCAAAAAGAAAAATTCTGTGACCTGTTGAGAATCTACTTTTTATAATCCAAAGATGCAGAATTTAGTTCTCCACAAAACTACACATTTTAGTTCCAACATTTTTCTACATCATATTTAAAGGTAGTTGTTAAAATACCGGTTTTTGAAACTACACTTGTTGATTCAGTTAAGCACCATATCGTGCATAAAAAACGTTATGCATTAGCACATAAATATAGTTTTCAGAAAAGTTTGGATGGCGACCCGTCTTTCCTGTTTTATGTTTTTGCATTTAAAATTTGAAAGAAAAGTGTTGGTAATATCGTAACCTTCATAAAAATTCTTAACGAGCATTTAAGAATTTTTATGAAACACCCTCCAGTTCTTTAAACTTTTCCGTGTTTCTTTTATACCTTCACGGATACAAAACAAGAAGATGAATGGATAGACACGATTACCGCGCGATATTTTGTTAGACCACGGTAGTTCCGAATACCGTACGATAATCGCGGTTACCGGCGATATTTTAGAATAAAGCTCAACATGGATGAGGTGCAAATTCCAACGTACAATTTGTAACGTCTTTAAGCGACATCTCTTGCGGTGTATGTCTATTGCTTAAAAATGCATTCAACAACACACGAAAGAATAGAAATGATCTCTTGTCTATCATATTCGTCAGCTGTTGTTGGAAGGTAATTTCTTACCATAACGCCCTTAAGGTAATGCCTCTTCATCACGAGTGAGAGCACTGTCCCAACATGTTACGGTAAATGTGTAACAATGTGATACTAAAAGTGTGATAATGTCACGTTTTACTGTTACATTTCGATACAGTGAGTGCTTTTGTTTTTCTATTTATATTTGACCCTGTCAAAACCAGATTGGTTTTTTCTTCTTACTGGCATTAACATTTGCTGAACCTAGAAAAATTTGAGAAATTTTATCAATATGTCTTTTTCACTAATCAGTTTAGAAGTATTGTCCCCATCGTTTTCAAGCAACAATCATAAATGATTTTAAAACAAAACTAATGTTTATGTCAATTGATTGCTTCTGTTACTTTTCAGTCTTCATATCCAACATTTTTACGAAGGGGAATTTGTTTGTTTCAGGAAACTCAAATGAGATAAGATGGCTATCAAGTTGGTTTTGTTTGAATTTTTTGTAGATTTCTCAAAAATGGTTGAAACATGTCCCAAGACTAATGCTTTGAAATAACAAATGTTTTAACCCATCTTTAGATATATTAAGTTCACCATTCAATGCATAAGTACGATGAGTAGTGTATCAAGCGAGCTCAACGATAATCTTTTTCCAGCACAAAATTTTCCATGTGAAAAACGTTCATTAAATGAAATAAATTCAACAAAACGAACTGATTATGATACTTTAGCCAAATCTCAAATCCATCCGATTCTCTATATTCAACATAAATTAGAACATGGCGAAACAATACAACGATTGGCACTCAAGTACAGTGTGAATGTATGGATGAGTTATTATGTACTGCAAATACCTACTTGCTTTGTTTCTTTTATTAGATTCAAGAAATTAAACGAGTTAACAAGCTTTGGTCTGATTCAGAACTTGGTTTATTATTAAACGTTCTCATACCGGTGAGTACTAGTCAATTAGCTATACTTAAAACAACACTGCCAGCATTAGACATTGTACAAACATCATCACCAATAAGCAGTCATCGACCACAAGAATTGCCAGCGAGTAATGAAGATGATAATCAATCAGCCGTTAGTTCATCTATAAGTATAACATCTTTTGATAATAAAGAGCCTCCTTATCAAGATTACTTTTCGAAAATTGATCAACAAATTCGGGCATCAAAGAAATCTTTACAAACTCTTGATACTAAACATGCACGGTAACACTCCTTTATTATCTCAGACAATTTCTTCAGGATTTCGTTTTTTTCATAGGTCAAGAATGTCACCATCATCTTCGTCATCCTCTTCAAGAGTCTCTGTTAGTTCTTCTCTTCTGGGCGATGAAGAAGATTCATCATTAATACCACATAATGCACGTTCATTGTATCCATCAGCCGGAAATGAAAACACAAATTCACAGCATCATCGTCCATACAGAAAATCAATCTTGTCAAATGACATTTTCGTTAATATTTCACAATCAAAATCTCGTAGTAAACAAGCTCGTGCTGCACTTGAACGAATACAACGAGAAAAAGAAGATATTTATGAACTTTGATGTAATTTGTGTTTTGATCGATCATTCATTAAGCGGAGCATCCTTGATTGAACAGCCATAATTTAATTTGATCCTATAATTTTTCAGTAAAAATATGAAAAGCTTACCACTGTTGAGGATGATTGTACTTCGATTTTGCTCCGTCTTTTATCTAAGTTAGTTTTATAGTTGCTATTATATACTTCTATTAATCATTTTATCTAGTGATTTCACCATCTTTATAAAAAGCAGTATACGTAGTTTTCTAAAATCAACCCTGAACCATATTTGTTGATAACAGTTTTGGTACTAATATCTATCTTTTCGATACAATGACAATGATAGATAAAAAGAGCGCACATTTAACCAAAAAGAAGCGTCTGTCTGATATTTTTGATACTCATATTTGACAGTGTTTGTTGAATGAGAACTAACGTTAGGCTCCATTCTTGTTGTACAATACACTAGACTGTATTGTTGTTTTTTTGATAATATGTAAATCAATTAATCATCTTCACTTTTTGTGTTTCTCAAATAAATGAACTTAATGAACATATCAGACTCAATCATGGTCGCATTTCATTGTTACAACGTGAGCAGATATCAAAAAGTATGCGATAATAGAATGGTATCTACTTTGCTTCTATTTTTGTAAAAATTTCATCTACTCGCTGTCTTTTTAATACTGTGTTAATAGTGTTGTTCTTTTTTGCACAAAACGTAATTTATTATTAGAAAAAAACTTTCAATTTGTTTTACTATTAGAATGAGAATATTATGTCTGACATGCAAAATTTGTTATGATACTTTTTACTTTTAGATATGTCTGGTAATATTTTACAGAAAGTTGACTGTCTCATTGTCGGTGGAGGAATTCTGGGACTAGCTACAGCGCGTCAATTCCAGTTAACATTTCCGCATATGAAAACGTTGCTAGTCGAAAAAGAAAATCAGTTGGGTATGTTAGAATCGTCAAATTTTGAACATATATCGTTTTTAGTTGTTGGTATTTTTTTTTTGTTACAGCCAAGCACCAAACTGGGCACAATTCTGGTGTAATTCATGCAGGTAATAAAAGAAGATCTAAGCTTTATCGGATTTAGTTTATATTTTTGTCATCATACTTTTATAGGAGTTTATTACAAACCAAATTCATTGAAAGCAAAACTTTGCATTGAAGGATTGAAGCGTATTTATGAGTATTGCGATGCAAATAAGATACCGTATAAAAAATGTGGCAAAGTATGATCAACTCATATCACATCATTCTCTATTTTGTGATAATTCACTTTTTATCTTCAAGTTGATTGTAGCTGTTACTCCTGATCAGTTACCAAGATTAGATGATTTATATCAACGTGCTACCCAAAATGGTGTAAAAGATGTAAAAATGATCGATGGAAAAGATATAAAACACATCGAACCCAACTGTAAAGTAAGAAGCGTTTAACTAAAGACCACATGAAAAAGAAGTAGCTTCCATTTTTTCTAGGGTCTTAAAGCATTACACTCACCTCATACAGGTACAAATAAACGGAATAAGACTTCCTTCTATCTAAATTTCTATTTTTCTCAGGAATTATTGATTACACTCTTTTATGTCGTGATTTTGGAAAGAGTTTTGAGAGAGCAGGTGGTAAAATTGCTTTAAATTTTCCTGTGGAAAAATTTCATTCAGCCGATGATTCAAATTATCCGGTTATTGTAGAAAGTAAGAACGGGGTAAGTGAGCATATTTCTTAAGTCTACTACTTTCTAATGGCTTTTTAATTTAGACTAAAGTTTTAACTCGTTATGTTATCACCTGCGGTGGTCTACAAGCTGATCAATTAGCAACCGCGTCTGGTTGCTCAAAACATCCAACTATTGTACCCTTTCGTGGTGATTATCTTGTATTAAAATCGAATAAATCAAATCTAGTCAATGGAAATATTTACCCTGTAAATAATCTTCATTTATCACACTATAATTTCATTTCACACGATCTCTCTCTCTCTACTCAGGTGCCAGATCCTACATTTCCATTTCTGGGTGTGCATTTTACACCACGAATGGATGGATCAGGTAATTCAATTTCTCTATATACAACTTAATTGATACACATTTTCATATGTTCTAGTTTGGTTAGGACCAAATGCTGTATTGTCATTAAAACGAGAAGGCTATAATAGGACAGATATCAACTTGAAAGATACACTCGAAATGATGACAAATAGGTAAATGTAAACTAATACTGATCCATTTTTTTTTTTGTTTTGAAATGAGTTGTTTTTAGTTTAGCGGGCTTCGTAAATTAGCATGGAAACATCTAAGTTATGGTTTAAGTGAAATGCGACGTGCCTATTCTCTTTCGGCAACTGTACGTCAATTACAAGCGTTCGTACCATCGTTAGAGATTCAAGATGTTGAACGGTCAGTTATTAATGAGTATCTATAAGATTAAATTTGCCTATATTATTATTTTTTGTTTTTAGAGGACCAAGTGGTGTGAGAGCACAAGCACTCGCTCCTGATGGAACGTTGGTCGAAGATTTTGTATTTGAATCTATTAGTGACGGATTGCTTGGCAAACGGATTTTACATGTTCGTAATGCACCATCACCAGCTGCTACATCATCGTTACCAATTGCAGACGCGATCGTGAGTAAAGCTAAAGAATGTTTTAATTTATGAGATACTTTCGTTTTTTCGTTTTAATAGTGAAGCTGTAGATGATAATTTTTTTGTATTTTTTCAATAAAAATGAATGCATATGATATAGCGTTTAAGATCTAGAGTATCTTTTTCAATATAATAAATTCAAAGTCTTTTACTTCGTTTTTAAATCAAGTTGACTTTTAACTTCTCTGCTTTTACGACTTTAACTTTTGACTTTTCCTCCTGATTATATTCTATACATCTCACATCTCATTTCTTCCTTGTCCTCCTCAACATTAGACGCTAGTGTGTTAAAAAAGACTCCTGTTGACAATGAACGTAAAATAACACCATACAACTTCATATACACCCTTACATCATAAATTATTCACGTCAAACGGCGATAAACAACAAGACGATTTTTAAAAATCTAGCGCCATGACAAGAAAAAAAACAAAAATGATGAGAGGATGTGAGAGAAAGATAAAAAAAAGAAGGTAGATGTTAGATAAATGAATGATATTTTTGTTATTACTAAGTTTCGTAAACATTGTTTTAAAACAATATCAAAATAAAAGCTAAATTAAAAAATAAATAAGAAACAGTTTCAAAAAACGACTTTAGAGGCATTAATTATTGTTAAAACCATTCTAAATGTAAATAAAATTTATTTACTGCTCAAATGCTAGACATAGAAAGATCGAATGAACTATCAGCTTCTTTTCCCACAGATTCATTTCCAAGTGAAACATTGGTATAAATGTCTGTGTTCTAAATAACGTTAAATCAGTGTGGGATACAGAAAAATAATTGCATTTAAAAAGGATAATAAATCAACGAAAATAATAAAAGTTATTTTGTCCATAGAATACATCATGAAACGTTTTTATGGACTGGTTTAAAAATTCATTATTTGCATTATAATGTTGAACCAGATTAACCAAATAAACAATCAGTTTAATGTTACAAATGTCATAGTTTACCTTTTTTATGCTGTCTGTGGAATAATTGCAAGCGGATTGCAATATAGAAAATAGTTTTCATACGTCTAAGAATGCTCCATCATCCATTTTAATGTCTCATTCGTTTATGATCTTTTGGTCTAAGCAGTTATCTAATAGCAGTTAGTAAAACGAACGTTTCTCACTCTGGAGCAGGCGCATAAAATTGAAGAAAACACTATAGTTCTACAGTTCGTTTAATAAATTAAGCCTTATTTAATAATTAACATCCGAAATGGAGAGAAGTTTCTTTCACTGATCAATCAAGTCTTCGATAGTTTCTTGAAGGAACTAACAAGACGCAATGCTTTATTACATAGCTAAAATAGTTGCTGAGAAGAATAGTCTTAAAACACGAAAGTATTACAATTCGATTCTCCGAGTGAAAAAAGAAAGCCTACGAATTTTTTAGCATTTCCCGGGAGACATCAATTTTCGATTAAAAAAAAATCTGTTTTTCAAAATTTTAGACAACTAGGAAAAGGAAAAGGAGTTCTTCATTTGTCTCAGATAGAGAATTAATTTTCAGTCCTTTCATGAGTTCTCTCATTTCTCAAGAAACTCGTTTTTTTTCGGTACTATGTAATATTGTTTTTGTTTTTGGTTAGGATTTTCAATAAACGGAACGATTCAAAGAGTCATTTTAGAGCTTCACAAGTGGAGAGCTCTAATATTTGACTCCAAAAAAATCGAAGTACTCACTATGAATTTTTTAAAAGTTTATGATCTTTGAGTCCTTCAAGGATCTAGAAACCAGTTCCTTATATGGCAGTGAGGAACCATATCCCGATCGAGCTATATATCCCAATTGGGACATAAAAACGTATCCCGATCGGGATATTGTAGTCCAATCGGGATATATTTTTTCGATATTCCGATCGAACTATAGGAATACAGCCCGATCGGGATATCTGCTTTTTTGTATATCCCAGTCGGGATATAGTTTCCTTACAGCAGGGCCGTAGTTTAAAACCGCCCCAAACTAGTTATTGTGACATTCGTAGTGCGAATATGATATAGATCATAACATATCAGTCGCCAAAACTTGAATAATGAGAACGCTTCAGCATTTTTAAAACTTTAAACTTTTGAACATAATTTACGCATCCGAAAACGTTTTTTGTAAACAATGTTGTTTACGTCGTTGCACAGACAACGAATCACGGTGGATGAGTGTAAAAATATACTAATAATATGCTTTTTAACTCGTCGAAAAACGCTAATAAATTTCAAAGCAAAATAGAAGGCAATGTTTGTTTCTATTACTTGGGTAACGAGTCAAGAAAATTTGTATCAAGCATAAAAAGAACTTTGATTAAATATGGGATTACAAACAAACAAACATTAGATTCGGGTTTAGAAAATATCAAACAAAAGGCGATGTTTTCTCACATAAATATAAAGGCAAAGATGAAAGGAAAGTAGTTGTCTATTGTATAGAGTGTAATGATTGTGGTAATATTTACGTTGGTCAAACTGGAAACGAAATTGATACTAGAATGGATCAGCATAAAAAAACACTAAACAAAGTAGATCCCTAATCAAAACTGTTCGTTCATGCCACTGAAAACAATCATACATTAGAACTTGACAAACCATGTGTTTTGGCCTATGAAAGAAACGAAATCAAAAAGATTACTAAAAGAGACACTGATAACATATCAACATAATAACCTGACGCACAATGATATATCACTAAAGACGGTCATATTTAACTAGACAAGAAAGAAAAAGAAAAAGTAGAAAAATAGAGAAATCACAACTAGAAAATTCCGTTTAGAAAAATCTCTGTATGTATATATAGTTGTCTCTCTTCTCTCTCAAAGAGTCATTCGCCTGATGATAATACTGTGATAGTGTCGAAAGCTCACTGTTTGTAAAATCATTTTACTTAAATTCTTTTCTATAATTCGGGATATAGAGCATGAGACTATATGGGTTTATACAATTCTTCAATCATTTTTATTTCACAGTTATCTTGGGCAAAAAAGTTTTCTATCAGCAAAAATGGCAATGTTTATGAACATCTTTTCTTTATATGAAGAATCTGGCTTTACTACGTTCGTGTAGGCCATGCATTGGTTACGGTTGATCGTAATAGAATGGTAAACCACTGTGACAACATGATACTTTCGCTGTTTTTGACTCGAACTGCGAGTAATGTTACTGATCTATATCTAAACAAAATTTTTATCAGCTCATCAGAATGGATGAAAGACGTGAAGATAAAAAAAATTTCCGTTTATGATTTTCGGGAAAAAAGAATAAAATGTTTCTCGAGTAAGAGTGCAAGCATGTCATTGTAGTATGCACACAAAAGTTTTTCGAAAATGTTTGATTCTGCAAGTCTCATATCGAAGATGTTTGTCTCTGGAGGGTATTGAAAACTGCGTATGGAAGAAGCAAAATTTTAGGATCTTCAAGTGACTAAATAGTAGTCAAGCGTTTGACCAGTTATTTATCGTTACCATTATAATCGATTAAGACTCATCGGTTATATAACATCGCTACACAACATAATGCAGAACAATATTGCTATGAAACGTGTTCTGGTATGTGTTGAACAAATTCATCATCTGAATAGATTTTTCTCAGTTAAAATCGACTATAATTTGCATAGTCCCTGTAATACCTAAGTATATTTCTGTTAAATTGAAATTTCATGAAAATAAAAATGTGCAAAACTTTGTGTACAACACTATTAGATAAAAACTGTACTATATAAGAAAGTATAAAAAAGAAATGCAAAAAATAATTGAGTATGGATATATCACAGTCAGCAAAAACGAATTTTTTTTTTCTTACGTTCACTCTATTGCTGATGTAGGTTCATATGAATTTGTTCTATTTAATATTATTGGTGAATCTTTTGTCACTGTTTTTGATAATGAATGTGACAAATGTGGTGGGGATGATGCTGTCTGTTGTTGACTAAATGGTTCGGTCATTAAGAAATCTAGTGTATCAGATGAAAATATTTGTTTAAAATTTGGTTCTTTTGTTAATAGATTAATCAGTTTTGAATCTAATTCATAACTGTTATTATGATTCTGAAATATTTTCTCATCTTCTTCACGTTTTAGTTTCTGTTGTAATCTGAGATATTTTTTATAACCATAATTTTGTTGAAATTCATCAAAATCTTCAACTATTCCACCTTCAATCGATACTCGAACGTTGGTTAAAAATTCATCATCATCTTGTGAAACATTTGATGTTAGAGGATCATCAACATTTGGTTCATAAAATAAAAATAAAAGCCCTTGTAAAACGTCATCTAACGTATTTGTTGGCTCCCAATCATTCAATGTTGATAAACAAACGTTATTATGATTATTTCCGTAGGTTGTATCGATATTTGGATGATAAATTTGTGTTAAACAACTGACTAATGGTTGACATACTGGATAGTCAGTCTCATCTGTAATTTCTATTCGAAATACCCAACTTCCGTTTTGATAAGGACCATCGTTGGGCGTTATCTCAAGATAAAAGCATTCAAGTTTATCATTGTCATTATCCTGTGATTCTCTTCGTTCCAAACTATCATTGACTGACGTTTGTTCTTTTTGTTCAAAATCATTTTCCATTAGAATAGAAGCTTGTTTATTGGAAATTGAATCTATTCTACGAGTTAATTTATAAACCTGTTTCTGGAATAACGTATTCATAATATTATAGAAAAAAGCTAAATATACAAAAGGTAATTCAATGAGAAACATATTTTGATTAATAAAAACAACTTTGTTACCTACTTGTTTTCGCAACTATCACGATGCTGTTCGATTTTGTGCTTCGTATAATGTAATGAAGAAAACAAAAAAATTGATTCATATATATAGTTAGAAATACAGCATAGACTGACTCAACCACAAAGTCATCGTTTTCCTTTTCTTGTTCTTTCGCAATTTGATTTCGTCATAAATTTCAGCAAACAGCTGTACGATTATGCAATTAAACGTGCAACTAAAAAGCAAGAACAAAAAAAAACAGAACGTGGCTTTGCCAAAAGTCCATGCGTTATAATGATCGCGACAAGTTTACCATAGCATTGAGGACGTGCAGAGGTCTGTTTGTCAAAAATAAAGAGATATTTCAAGAAAAGAGAATTGGAGGACATTGCTCATTGTCAGCATGAGTAGAGTTGGATATGTGAAACTTCCCATGCACTTATATATACTATACAATGACAATTCTTGGACATTTTCTGACGGATTTTTTTATCAAGTCTGTTTGAAGTCCAAGGAGTTAAAATCTTTTAGGATTTAGGGGAAATAAATTGAGAATTGTAGATAAAATTACAGCAGCTAATTTAAATCGCATTTTTATTAAAAATTTTTATTTAGTTCGACGTTTCGACAATACATTTGTCATTATCAAGAACATGTGTGATAACAGATATTACAGTATGAGTAAAATTGGATATGTGAAGTTTCCCATGCACTTATATTTACTATACAATGTTACAAAAGAGCTAGATAGAGAAAAATAGAAATAAAACAAAATAGAAAGAAAGAATTGTACAGCTAGACAAATAGAAAAATAAATAGAATGAAAATAAAATAACTTTTTTCTTTTCTTTTTTTCTTTTAAACTTTTGCAGTTACATTTTTGCTCGAAAATGCTTCCTTTTCGAGAAACTACGGGCAAGGTTTTTTTCAAAATACTTTTTAGCCCTAAAATCCCACCGAGAAGATAAAAGTTTAATTTCTCCGTCAAACTTCATCCTGGAACGATTAACACTTTTTTCTGTATACAACTTGATGTCCCCCCCCCCATTTGATGATGCAATAAACAAGTCTTCATTTTAAAATTTAAAGATTTTATTTAAACTTCCAACTTTGGATAAAAAACCTAGAAAAACTTCAAAATTTTTTCTCAAAAACTACAAGTCTGGGAATCGAAAAAAATTGCTGAATATATATACTTCAGACTGTGCTCTACAAACTGGTGGAAAAAAACGTTTTAGGAACAGCTTTAGTGTTAACCCATGAATTTACTTATTTATTCAAAGTTTTTAGTGAGCTCAATAGAATGAAATGATATAGAAAGAAGACTGAATGTAGTCAACTCAACGTAGTTTCATGATATGAGGCGATTGTAAACGAAAAATGTATATTGATTGAATGAAATACAGGCTTAAATGCACTCCTGCTTTGAAGTTAGTTAGTTAGTTAATTATACCCTTACCTCACTGGTATCGGGTGAAGATCAAAAAAGACAAATACACAGAAAAACACACAGAAAGAAATAAGGAAAATAGAAAAAGAGTTTGTGTTCACGTAGAAGCGAAAGTGTTCGTTCGGTTGATTCCTTGTTTGATCATCGTAGAAACCCAGGACCGACTACTGTTTTCCGAATCCGTCAGACCTTGCGAGTCTGCTTTGAGTGATATTCATCATGAAGTACAGGGTAGAGAGATTCAGCTTCTTCGTCTTGCACGTAAACGTTATTGAATGAGTTTCATCTTTTGGGTGGTATTGATATCGATGTTCAATTCGTTGGAATTTTGTGTTTCTTACACCATTCTGGTGCACAAGCTTTGACATGTCTAATAATACCTTGTGCTCGGAAAGTTCTTCTCGTACACTTTGAATTCGGACATGTATATGCACCATCTGTATTCTTTAACCCTTGCTTGATCAGAACTTCAGTGACCTTGGGAGGAAGAGGTACATTTGATGCAGCTCTTCGTTTGTCTGCTTTTTGCTTGTATTGTTGTACAACTTCGGAGATGTTTGAAGAGGGATCATTTGAATGAACCAATCTGTTGATTGTCGCCCGCCATTTGTCTTTGTCAAGTGTTTCGCGTCGCCAATTTCGAATATTGAGTTTTTCAAGATCTTCAGTTATTTTATCTTGCCATCGTTCTCGAGTTCCCATATTTCTTGCCTTATTAGCATGAGCGAAATAGGAGAACATAATTTTCTTGACCATTGAACGCAGATATATATGTAATATATCAGTTAAGATTTGATCAATTTGACTATCATCAATTTCTTAATTTACCATAAATACATGCCGTTATGAATATTTAAATAAAGAGCCATTAAGTCATCATTCTTTTGTAATACATTCGAGGTAAATTCAATTATATATGGATGTAAACGAATAATCTTCGAAACAGGTACGTTCTTACATTCTAATTTTAATTTTTTGAATTGTAAATTCAGTAATCCGTTAATTTTCACTAAAACAATAGATACAGAATAACTGTTGATAATGCTGCATGCTGTGGAACTAATATGATACTATTCGACAATTGTATTTAGGGACATATGATGATGATGTATCATTATGTACAGATGTACTTACAGCATTACAAGCTGAATCTTACTTATTGTTGCTGTAGAAATTATAATATCTTAAGCATCGCCATTGCACCACCACTACCACTTGGAGATATATTCTGAAAAAATTTACAATTAACTTTTTATTTAAACTTCTTCAGTATAAAAAAACTTACTTTGAAACAATACGTACTACTCAAAATTAACTGATCAATTTCATTCGTTTTGTTCTTATCACCATACTTTGTTGCAGCAATTTGTTCTACAAGTTTACCAAACTCATTCACATAGAATTCTGTTGCATCTACAATATAAAATAATGCACTCTTTTTTTCATATTTCAGATGATTGATTATACTAACGGTCTGTAATTATTCTATATTTTTGATAGGCGGATGACACGATGAAAATCACTCGCAAGGGATGATTCCCAATATTGTTTATTGACGATTACACTGGCGAATAAAACTTTAGTTTCGGGTAAAGTTGCGTGCTTTTTATTTGCATCAACGGACAGGATTTCATACTGCTTGTTTGGCATCATATAATCTAAAAGGTATGAAAGCAAGAAGGGTAGGGTAGTTCACACAAGCCTCTAAGAATGTATTATAGAATGCTGGTACTAAAAAGCGTTAATGCATTCACTTTGATTAATTTTTAACTGTAACTGTAAACACACTGGACTGCTCTTAAAACCTGCAAATGTTTTAAATGAAAAAATATTTTTAATGCATCCGAATGCGTTATATAATTTTGCGCATTTGAATATATTAACTCCTAACGGATTCAAAAGTTTTCATGGGTTTGAAGTTATTACACGATAAAGCTATGTTTTAACGCGTTTGAACAAGTAAAACATTTTAAAGAATTTAAACGTGTTGGTTAAAATGTCAGTTGAAGGTGTTGATTATTTAGAAACGGGTTAGGAAAATTAAAAAAATTTAAGGTGCTCAAATGCATTATCTTTCCATACATCCAAAGACACTAAAACATTTTTCTATCCATTTCGTGCGTCTAAACCTGTTAAAAATAGAAAATATCGATTTAACGCGTTCAAGGAAAATTTAATAGATCAAAGAAATTCATTGGATTATATCTTAATAATTTATAGTATAAATACTGAAGCTTTAATGCTCATTTTTTTATCATTTTTTCACTTGTGATTCTCACATACTCTGTAATTTCGCCTAAAAAGATTCTATAGTTTTTGAGAAAATTGAATTTTACTGCAAAAATGTCGCGCGAGTATTACTCTGTGATATTTTGGTGAAAACGTGAACTCAATTTATCATATACCATTCGATTCTTCTTCACAAGGACTGTCTGATGGTAAACATTTTAACACAACATGGTTTGCAGTCATGTTTGGTTGATGTTGAAATGGATGCTCTAACGGATTGAGACAGATTAACGGATTCTCCACACCGAGATCTATCAAGCGACATGCATAAAGCATTCTTTCGTAGGTATTTTATTCACTCCAGAGATTTCGCTGCTTTTTCACTTATTTGTGTGTTTAAAGAGTTCTCTACTCAGAAAGCTATTTTCTAATTTGAAATGTGATAAACCTTACAGAAGACTTTGGTAATACGGTGAAATAGCTATGATAAATTTCCAGCACGAAATATTGAATCTTTTTCATCCGTTATAAGTGTCAAAATTGAGCGATTTGTAAGGTGTATTTTCGTAAGATGAATAATAGATTCAGCGCTGCTATCACTTTTAGATGAATCCAGACACCTGAATTTAAAACTTGCGGCTGACGTTTCGCGTTTCTTTTCCTTTGCTTTTTAGTGTGCGTAATCACTTTTCAACTTATCAATCTGCTAACAAGCAAAGAACTTCAAATTGCAGAACAAGCGTAAAATATTCTGCCCTTAGCGTAGCTATGTAGTGGCTATAGAAAGACAAACATAGACGGAACTGATGGAGGTCTCTCTAGACAGAAAAGTCATTTTTGGATGCAAAACTCATTTACGAGATTCACCTTGTTTTTAGAATACACGAAATTTATATATAAAAGGAATCGCTAGAGGAGTTTGTCTTGTTATTTAGATTATGGCTAATCGTTCATCGTTGTTATTGCTAAATTAACTTCATCAGTAAAAACTTGAGATCTGTCATGAAGATTGGTAAGAACCAAATTTTTGTTTTCATAGTTTATTTACATTGTTCGGTGGTTATCTTATTATAGTTACATGATTTATTAAAGGCACTTATGGTGACAAAATGACGATTAAAATTAATATAGAATTTTAAAATGTTTAGTGAACATTTTGATTATGTAAGTATAAACCATATATCGAGTTTAGTTCTATAAATAAATAACTGTTTGGTTTAATGTCAATCTCGCATCATAACAGATTATTCAATTGATAATGGTTTTTGGTTTTAACTCCAAAAGTGTTGTAGTAAAACATCTATGGTAACAAGAGATATAATCTTGATATATGTAAATCTGCCGTTCATTTAACTAGTATCACAGCTCAAGTGTTTTTTAGTGACTATAATTCAGCCCTTTAGCCTTGTTGTCTAGTTAATGAGCATTTGATAGAATGAGAAATCCTAATGTGACAAAAGACCTGAGAAAAATAGAGGATTTGATCTTGCGGGTGATGTACATTGCCACATCTTACGAATAAGAAGAATTTCATATCCGTTAGTTCATCTGTAAATCGTCTCCCTTTGCTAAAGTAATACCACAAGTAACTGGTTTAACGTAAAAATTATTTCAAATAAGCACAGAAGTAGAAAAATAGGAAAAAAAACGGTTCTAGAACATTAAGCGAAAATAGATATCATTTGACAGTTATAAATAAATGGACAAATCATAATTTTTATAATATTTGCCTTTCGTCGTATCTTATGATTTCTGTACGAGTGTGCAATGTCTTTTAATTAAATAAATCACTCGGATGTAGTCAGACCTATAAAAAAATAAATAATTCATTCTTCAAAAATATTATATAACTAATAAAGAAATACGAGCAATCGGTGTAGTAAGGTCTGTATGTAATTCTGTATAATACTTACTGTCAAAAGATCTACCGATAATGAATTTTCCGGTTCACGTTCACAAAATAATGGAGGATTGTTTGTTACTGCGATGATGTTCTCGTCGACTATGTTGACTGAACAGGAGGAAATTGCTTACGTGTAGCCAAATTCAAACAATGTATGTCCTCTAAATGTTCAATTAATATGTAAGATTATCCGGTACAATTTTTCGACTATCACACAGCGTTATTTCATATATTAAGTATAGATCCTCGCGCACTCATCTAACACACGACGAGGTACATCATCGACGAGTAAAAAACAAAAATTTTTAATATCAACGTCACTTAATTGATCTCTGATATGAATTAGGAGTGTTTCAAGCCAAGCTGACATGTTAAACACAAAAATAATGCTTGTATATTCGTATTCAATCCTACTAGAATTTCTAAAATCTGTGCGCAAGCGTTTTAACATATTCAATACTATTTGGGTTGTTGGCTGATGTTTAGTCGATCATGCCATGAGTAAAAACGTTTAAGCAAAATGAACTTGTAAAAAATATCGGCGCGACAATCGAACTTGACAGAGCTGGGCAAGTACGGGATTTCTCAAGTACGAGTCGAGTACGAGTATCAATGCTTCGAGTACGAGTCGAGTACGAGTACCAAGCCTTCGAGTATGAGACGAGTACAAGTACAAGCACCAATTTTTTAAATACAGTCACCATTGAACCAGGTATGACAATGAATGTCTAAAATAATTTGTGGGAAAAAAAGTCCTATAGTTCTTTAGTTATTCTCTTAATTAGGCTCTTATTATTTGATATATAGGTCAGAACAAAATATTGACAAAGCGAAATGTTAAAACATTTTTTTAATTTATTGTATTATCAACCTTCAAGTAAATGGAATCAAAGTAAAACTTTGTTACATTTTAGAAAAGTTAGTAGACACACATTCTTTGCCGTTAATGATGCTCGGTGTGGTCTCATCAGAAAACCACTTTGCGAGAAAACACGTTCGATAGAAGTCGATGTCGCAGGCACCGTTAGATATTTTAGAGGAAGTTGATATAATCCTGGATAAATGTGCTTTTTAGAAAAAAGTAAATCTTCTTCACGACTTTCTTCGCATAAATAACACACACTTCATCTGGAATTTCAAATATTAGATTATCGAGTACTGACCACCTCGAGTACAAGTACGAGTACGATTATCAGTCCCTCGAGTACGAGTACCAACCCTTCGAGTACGAGTACGACCAAAATCGTACTCGAGTACGAGTACTTCGAGTATTTTGCCCAGCTCTGGAACTTGATAAGTAGAGATTAACGTTGTGTCATTCCTTGACGAAAGTTAGGATGTTAACCCATAACAGACTTACTGCGCTTCTAAATCATCTGTCGACTATGGTAACATTATTTTTCATCAAATGGTTGAAGATTTCCGTTTCCGTTTAAAAACATTTCCGCTTCACTACTTTTATGTGGCACAGAAAAGAAATAAAACTTCATTTTATAGATTAAAAAGCAGATATATCGAAAGATTTCTGCTTAAGAGTATTTCTCAGCGCATTTTAAAGTGAAATTAGGTCTTATGAAATAAATAGTTTATTTGTCTGTTATTTGTCTAACATATGATATCATTCAAAATTTTCAATAATTTCAAGCAAACACAAATGAAAAAATGCTTTCCTACCAATAATAGAACATAAAACGTCGAGGGACTGAGTGAAATCATAGATGATGAATGTTAGCTGTTGAAGATATAATAAAAAATTGATAATTTAGATTTGCTTCTATTATCTCCCAGACGGACCTATGATAGTTCAGGGTTTCTGTTCTTCGAACGATAAATACTTCTTACTTCAAGTTTGTTGAACGAGAACTGTTTTTCAATTTCTGCTCCTAAACTAGGAACAATTTAACAGCTCATGTTCATAGGAACGACTCATCAATTCTGGTTCCTCCGAAAACAGGAACTACAGTTGTTTTTGAATGAGGAACTGTTAATGCTCTCGTTCTTAGTGCACTATTAGTTTATTATGTACTCATATAACGAACATTTTGAAAGAGCGAGCAAACTAATACAGTAACTGCAGTTCAACGAACGATGGACTGCCACTGGTCTACTTCTAGATGGAAAAAACATCACTAATCTTTTTGGAACTTTCAACTTGAAATATCTACATAAAAGCAACGGATAGCAAATTTCAAAGTCGTCTGAATCATATTTTATCTAAGCGTCTAGATTAGTTCACAACGAACCTAGTCTCTCAGAAAACTTTAGAAAAAATGTATCGTACAACGAGCCCCATTTTAGTCCTTGCATCCCCTTTAACAGATGATTATTACAAGCTAAAATTTTTATCGTAATATAATCAAAAGATATAATCCCCAAAAGTCTTGTTTCATTTGATTGCATAGTGTAGAAAAAGCTCTTTCAGAAGGGACTTCTTGAGAGGAAGTATTTTCAGACTAGTACATACCAGGTATTCTCATGACGTGTCGCATAACATACAAATAAATTTTATCGTATAATATTCATAGGGCGCACAATCATATTCTGTAAATTTAATATGCCTTAATCGACTTTGCTATCAACTTGATTGCTGTTTTTATTGTTGAACGGTTCGTGAAAGATGAATTTAAAATTATCGTAGTTGATCACGTACATAGTACACAACAACCTAATGAATTCTCAGTTTGTGAGCCATGTGACACCAGAAACATGATCAATATCCAGTTTGCACTGGAAAAATGATATGTTTTCATCTACAGTAATATTTTTTGTTGTTTTTTAGCAAAAATTATATTTCTTCTAAATGTTTAATAAAATTCGATCGTAAACTGGTAATAGCAGATAATTTTCCAAATAATCGTACATGATAATAATAAAAATAAATAAAAATTGACAAATTCTACTGTCTTTGACCTATTCTCTATGTAATGTACATACAGATTGAAATTTAATTTAATTGACTGTATTGTATTTTAATCTTCAAGACAAAATGACCACTGTTGGTATCAATTTATTATGATGACACCTAGAATAAACGAAAAAATACACATCTTTTCAGACTAAAGTAAAATGACATATATAATAACAATCAAAATTTTGTTTTTATTTATTTATGAAATTACAGACAAATTGTCTGGATATTTAGAGTTTTCTCTTACATAAAATTTAGTTTCCTTTTATAATTTCATCTTCTTCGGTATAAAATGGTTTTTCATTGTGAATCCATATATCATTTGGCACTAATTCAATACTAGTAAATTCTAATTGTTTATGAATTGATGATGTTTTATTTCGACGAGATGTTTTAATTTGTTTAATTCCATTTAATTGTGGTAAAATTTTTCTTTGTTCAAATGAAACAAATACTTGTTGATTAAATGCAATTGGAAAAATATCAAATTGTGGTAATGAATATTCTGTACAAAAACATGTTGAATAATAAATATAAAAAAATTTATTTATATCAAAATGTAATCCTTGTTGAAACATATTTAAACTATTTCCAAATATTAAAATTTGTCTCAAACAATTTTGTGACCAATTAGACCAAAGAATATTATTATGTAGTGGTTTACCACAAAATGGTATAAAAAACAATGTTGAACGTACTATTTGATAACAAGCTTCATCATTTTCATTTAAAATTTGACATGATATATTTGATTTTAAATAGTCAATTTCACCTGTTGTCCATATAGGATCATAAATAAAAATTGTTTTTACTTGATCAACAAATATTTGAGATATTAATTTAAGTAGACAATATTGATATTGGGATGAAACAGATGAACTTATATGACCAAGACCATAGCAAACAATATCAAATACATTTGATTGTTGTAAATTTAACCAATTGATAATGTATGATTTCATTTCTAACCAAAAATAACTAGTTAAAATTGAATCTATTTTTAAATATAAATTTTTTGTTAATACATCACAATCAAATGTACTATTATCTATTGAAGTATTAAGAGTTTTAGAAATATGCGAAGGAAAACGTCTTGTATGTTTCTTGGCAAAACGAAATTCATCATCATCATCACGATGGTTATTATTATTTGAAATCATCTGAAAAATATAGTCATAGTTAGGGATAAGATTGTTATCTGTTTATACTCGACGACAAAGACTTTTATTTTAGTATTACATTAATGAAGGGTAGTAATGATCGGCATCCCTGATGATGACAGGAAATCTTTTTTTTTTATGCAAAATCACAAACGGAAAGAATTTTTTTTGATTATCTTTGTCATAAAATACAATGACTAACAACATGAAACTGGTTTGAATATGTTTGATTGAAAAGAAAATTTAAAAAGTAGTTTGTACTCATTGTGTATGTAATAAAACAAGTTTTGCATGATGATTACTTCCGCTCCTTTTCGGTTTATATATAAGATAAGATTGAAGAGAAAACTGTAAAAAATTTCTGAAATTCTTTTTTTAAGAAAAGTTCTCCTTGGACTATGAACAAGATGACAGAGAGAGAGAGAGAGAGAGAGAGAGAGATCATCTATACTCAAAGGGTAAACGAATAACGATGTTTCCATAATCGTCCCACTTGAACTTAAAAAGAATGCTGAGTAGATATATTTTTCCTACAGATTTACTTTAATGCAAGCATGTACAAAATACAAAAAATAAAGTAAAATACAGACATAATAAAAATAAGCTCAGACAGACGTACAATTATATTTTTCTTTGTTCACAAGGGAGATAAAAAAACGAAACATACATACATAGACTACTTTTTTTGTGACTTTGTTTGCAAAATTAAACTCTCAATTTCTATGTGAAGTATGAACAACACAATTGCTGAATAAACATTAATAGATTTTGGAAAATTTCATCACTGGATTAGTTCAGCAATCATACTAAATAAATCAAAATAGAGTGTTCTTGAATACTGATAAAACAAGTATAGAAAAGTAACATACCAATATAAATAATAAAAAAATGTAATCATATAAAAGCCAAGTTTAATCCAGCCTTCTCGTGTTGCTTTTGAAAGTTGTTGTTGACTCACAATTGTCGTTGGATCATATAATCCAAGTCCATCTCGCAGTGGTCGTGTGCGAAATCTAAATGACAAAGCAATAGTACTATCAATAGTATGGTGTCGCTATCATCGTGGTATACTAACCGATTTATGTGGTACGCTATTAATGGCATGTTAATTATAAGTGATCTCCATTCATAGCCAAATAAGAATAGAATATTAATAATTCCATGTGTAATATATTCTGGTAGAACTAACTGAAAAAGTCCAAGTAAATTACTTTTCAAAAATAATACTTAAAATACAAGTACTTACTGGATTTAATGAATTACATTGATCGATCGGATTTTTGTGATCATTTTTTAATTCGTCAAAGGCAATGATCTAAATAAAGTGCATATAGAGATTAAAGACCCTTAAACTAGTCCTAATAGGTGTTGGAAGATGGTAGATGACTAAAGCATTCAAATTCTCTCATCTTACAACAATAGTTTCACTCCTGTTACCTGCATTAACTATGCAACTATACAGTTTGGCTTGGATTATCATCAGTGTACAAAAAACTTCTCACTCTAGTCATCAGGCGATAGATAATACAAAATCTAGAAAACGTCTTAGAAACTTACATGCCAAATTGCAAAGAATATCAACAAAGCCGTTAAAATTAAAGCTGCAATGTACGCAACGGCGACGAAAGTAAATGCCATATTTGATTAGCCTAATCTAAAACTACCAAATAGATGAATCAAACAAGCGTAGTTTAAGCTGACATACAATTGACATCAGCAAGAGGATTCGAAAATTCAAAGAGTATTCTCATTCTTCTTCATTTATTAGATATATTTAGATAAGTTTGACAAGTCTATTCAATTATACCCTTCGAAAAATCCTTCTGATAAATGTGACAAATTGAGATTACTATTAAAAAGATCAATGAAAAAAAACTGAGTTTGTCTTATGCTCGTACTCAGAGTTTGATGAAGGTTTACGTTTCGTGCATTTAAGACAAACTTAGGCAGAGACTTACGATATTCAATAGAAAACCAAGAGCCCAATTAATCCTTAACAATGATTAAGCTGCTGGTCATTAAAGCTTAAGAGCTACTTAAGAATCAGAATTGCCAGATTTACCACTAACCCCATAATACGCTCCCGTAATAGACTTACTGTGCTTCTAAAATGATTTGTCGACTATGGTAACATCATGTTTCATTAAATTGTTGGAGATTTCCGTTTCCGTTCAAAAACATTTCCGCTTTTTGTTTCACTACTTTTATGTGACACAAAAGAAATAAAACTTTATTTTATTGATTAAAAAGTAGATATATCGAAAGATTTCTGTTTAAGAGTGTTTCTTAGCACATTTTAAAGTGAAATTGGGCTTACGTATGAATTATAATGTTTAGACCAATGGTGCGGAGACTTTATTTGTAAACCTCCCACCAGAATAGAAGGACATGACCGTCTACTACGTCCCATCAAACTTTTTAGGATGACCTTCTATTAGGGATGGCTTTCTAATCCAACCTTCCAACCAAAAATTTTCGAAAAGTTTTCGAAACTCGTAAAAGGCTTAGAATAATGAATTTTTGAACAGTTAACTAATTGGTGTTCTAGGGTGTTCAACAATTAAGAACTCGGGTTTTAGACTGTCTTTACATCTCCGAAGCTTTACAAACCGAAAACAGTCATATGAAAGTTCATTATACAGATAATTAAGCTGTTGTGTATTCGTTGCTATTGGATTTTTTCTCGTCTCTGCGCTTATGGCACCTCCTGCTCATCAACATCAATTATGAGGGTCAATATACTTATTGTCTAGTTTCTGTCGATTTGAGCGTAATGCAATTGATCGTGACGACTGAATCGATTACACTTCTCTATGTTCGATGTTTAGGGTTACTCGATAGAAGGGATAATTAACAAAGAAGTTACTCTATACTTCTGCCACAATCAGGGTTGCCAAATCTTCTAATTTGAAACCTGACTAGGAGACCCTTGACTTTTAAACTTTTCTCCTGATGAAAATTCTCTTGATTACAATGCTGATTTTTAAGATTTTCTCCTGATTTCTCCTGTTTTTCAATTGTTTTCCTGCATCGATTTTAGCGTTTCGATATTCGCTTTGTTTTGGTTCTTGTTGGCTTCTTAAAAAATATCTGTGTCTGTTTCGTTTATGCTGTTAAATGAACAGCCGGGAAAATACCAGTAGAATAAACTAGATGTAATCAACTTTCTCTTTGTTTCGCTTGTAAGACCTTCTCATTACTTGCTTGGTAGAAAAAAGTTATAAGCGTTGCGGAAATAAAAATTTTGCTTGTCCAAGAAAAAACTGCTTGATACTCTCCTATTTTTCTTCTGATTTTCCTCCTGGTTTTTTTTAGAAAAAATCTCTTGATCAACTCCTGATTTTGAAAAATTGGATTTGGATACCCTGGTCACAACTCCCTACTGTGGAAATTCCAAGAACGAAGACCGAAAACATGCATAATTTCACAGTTTCTAGAGATCAAATGCTGAAAAGTTTTCGAAAACAGTGATGCGGTCGTATCAGAAAGCTATAGCCTTCTAATGTGAATTTTACAGAATTGTCTCAGAGGTGGCCTTCTATTCGAGGAAAATGAAATATTTCTCTTTGATGATGTGTTAGATAACTATGATTCATTTACCACTGTGTTCAGTTTTTATTAGCTTTTTTTTAATACAAAGGTTTATCCTTGTCTAAGTGTAGATTTTAAGAAAAATCATTTTTATTGAGGACCCTAAAGACATTACCTTAGAAAAACTTACGTCAAAAAGTTGAAACACTCAGGTTAACTGAAAAATCGTTTTCTCTATAAAATTTCATTAAATTAAGTTAGAAAAATGGTAGACAGAAATCAATATATACGCTTTGCTATTGGAAACACTGCATCGTATCCTAAACTGTCTCTCAACGTGGGATCTAGACTAGTCCGAAGCGTCGGAAAGTGAGCCTACACCGTTTCTTACCATGGAATTCCGTTCGAGACAAGAAACGGATCCGACTTTCTACCTGTCTTTTGTTTACTTAGATTAATAAGGTGGCAGAGTTTAGGTTTATTTTAAGACTTCGCTCATGAAAAACAAACATTTTTATTTCAAGAACATTTGTCTCACTTTTTGGTCAAAATGTTCTCCTATTGAAATTTTTGCTTAGCAACCGTGTTGAGAATAGTGTTGAAATGATCCTCTGCTACTCTAAAAGTTCTTCTAAAATTAATTGACTAGAAGACGAAAATAAAACGATTCAAGCGGAAAAACAACAATAGTGCACTGATCGAGAGGTTTCCAAGAGCAAAAGTTATGTTATATTATATTATGAGGCTTATGTTGTCTACTATTGTTGTACATAAGAGAGAGAGAAAAATGTGTTTCAGACATTCTTTTTTATTTGTAGAAAACTGTGCGAATAGAAAGTTTGAAGGAGTAAAAAGTATTGTTTTATGTGTCAGAGAGAATAATCAAGTACACTCCTTGGCAAATAAAAGCTTTTGTTTCTATGAACTCGAAAAATTTATCAAGAGAAAACATAGTGGAGTATTCGTACTCATTCTTCATTTGTTCTGCATTGAACACACAGTCCTCCAATCAATAAAAATGTGTCGTGAAGAGTGTTCATTGGTGACTCAGAATTTCTTTTGACACGCTCTCTTTCATGATACGTGCTATCCTTTCTTTTGGAACGTACATCATTCAATACTGAATTCAAAACTAATAGTCAGATTATTTCATAGAGAGAGAGAATTTTATGGATATCTGCGGCCAAAAAGTTTTTGTCGTATGAGTAGATTAATTTTTTTACCTCTTTTATGAAAACACTATTAGTCGTTTCGCTAGTTGTTCAACAAAATAGACATCAGTCGCTAATAGCTGCACACAGATTAGAGGTCTTCTCTGCAGTAACGATTCACTTCAGTCTAAATTTTTCAAAAACTTTTATGTCTAACCATTGTTTATTTGTGACGATTTGAACCAGCTACTAGGTTTAGATTAAGTCGTTTTATCACCCTCCCTAAAAACAGAAAACAACTAAAATAAGATAGAAAGGTAGAGATAAAACAATTAGAAAAAAATAGAAAGAAAACAAATAACTCGGTTAAATTGACGAGGAGCATGACTGAAATTTCACTGTAAGAGATAGAGTTTTTTTGCAAGCGTGATTCGGTAAACAGTGTTTTTAATGATTAGTGGGACAAGCGAGAGCGAAATGGATTTCCATTCTGTTTTCCACGCTGAGAAATGTATATCCCACTTTGTTTTCCACTTTTGAGAATTTTCACTTTATCTTCCTTTCATATTTTCTGCCTTAGAAAACTAACCCATCGATCTGGTTGTTGAACACATGTGAACGAGAGAACCAGTATAATTTCTGTTTAATCCTATAATTTTCATCACAGTACGACATAACTAGTGCCTGAAGATTAACGTCAACTGGATATTAGTCAAAAAGGATTTGTGACTACTATCTAAACGTATAAAAGTTTTGCACCATTTCTTTTTCTTCAGAATTGTTCAACTTACAGCCATTCTTCTAGTTAGATTTTGTCTTAGATGAGTCATCTAAAATGTTTGTCGTTAAATTTGTAATTGATCGGGATAGAGAAGTTAATTTCGATCCATTTAACTAAAAGTGGTAAAACGAAACCCCTACGACGATAAAAAAAATTTCTTTTAGCCGCTATTAGACAAAAATTTCAACTGTTCCCATTTTGTCCACTTTACATTTCATATCAAAGTAGAAAATCCCACTTTGGCGCTAACAGCAATGTGGAAAGTTCCACTTTGAAAAAAATTCCTGTTAAAAACACTACTGGCGAAAGTCAAATTAATTTTCAGTTTCAAAATTTGCTTTTCCACATTAAGGTGAAATAGTATTCCATTTTGGCTCTGGAAATTCCTTTTGTTGTTTCCTTCTTTTCCGACCCATAGACGAGCTGTCACAATGTATAAACGTTATTTTTAACTTTTTTGTTTCTGCTCGACATATGTCAGATATGTTTTCTTTCACAAGAAATCAAATTAAGGACCCTTTTTTCAATCCTGCTTTTGTTCTAAATGTCATTCTGCATTTCGAATGAAAATCTTACTTTAAAAAATTTTTTCCATTATACAGACTAATTCGCATGAGGAAATTTGAGAAGATTGAAAAAGCAGAAAGAAAACTTTTATCATATTTTACCTTTTTGTTCTAGATGAATGATAAATTTCGTACTACGACTATGATTGTGTATGTTTTTCTATTTATTTTTTCCCATGTTTCATGTAATAATGATCTTAGTATACTCACGCAAACAACTTTATCAACAACGTCAGTAACATGTAATCAAGAGAATAAAAATCGTAGTGGTTTAATTGATGACTGTAATTGTCGATTTGATGATATAAACGATATAAATAATAAAAAACTCTATCCTATATTAAAAATATTGGTAAAAAAAAATTATTTTCGTTTTTATCCAATAAATTTAAAGAAACAATGTCAGTTTTGGATAGATGATAGTAAATGTGTATTAAAAGATTGTGCTGTTAAATCATGTCCCGTTGATCAATTACCCGAAACATTGCGACATAATAAAAATCATCATGAATATGTAAAACATCGGCAAGAATCAACAACAAGTGAATGTAGTAGTAATAACAACGATAAAAATTCATCATTAGGCGAATTGAATAAAAATTTAAGTGACGAACATAAACAAACAATTGAAAAATGGATACAATTTGATGATAGTTTATTGGATAATTTTTGTGATATTGATGATGAAACATCAGCAGATGTAGAATATATTGATTTATTATTAAATAAAGAACGTTATACTGGCTATAGTGGTCAATCAACAAAACGTATTTGGACAGCTATTTATAATGAAAATTGTTTTTTTATGTCTGGTTCTAAAGTTTATTATAATTTAAGACAAAAACGACAAAATATTAAAGATTTATGTTTAGAAGGACGTATATTTTATCGTTTAATATCCGGTTTACATTCAAGTATAAGCATTCATTTATGTTCAAATTATTTTTTTCCCGGTTATTTAGGATTGAGTGATCATTGGGGACCGAATACACAAGAATTTTCTCGACGATTTGATCCAAAACAAACCGAGGATGAGGGTCCATTATGGTTAAAAAATTTATATTTTATTTATTTAATTGAATTACGTGCATTAGATAAAGCTATTCCATATTTGGAACAAGTTGCCTATTTTACAGGAAATGAAACAGATGATGAAGATACTAAAAATTTATTAAAAAATCAATTATTCAATGAAATACGAAAATTTGCAAATCATTTTAATGAAACACATTTATTTAAAGATAATGAACAATTGAGATATGAATTTAAAGAACATTTTCGTAATATAAGTCGAATTATGGATTGTGTAGGATGTGATAAATGTAAAATTTGGGGTAAATTACAGATACAAGCATTAGGTACTGCATTAAAAATTTTATTTAATCGAAAAGAAATTCATGCATTTCAATTACAACGATCAGAAATTGTTTCATTAATAAATGGTTTTGCACAATTATCCTATTCAATTGATCAACTGGAAAAAACATTTAAACCATTTATAAATATATCATAACATTGATGGCGATGTTGTATGTCAAGAATTCAAAGATGGGTGACTCAGCTTTTCAAATCCTCCGCAATTTCTTGGTACAACTTCATAACAACTGCTGCAGTTTTAGACGTAGTCGAGTCGATATTATTCAAATACGCAGTCTCACTCCGATAAAGTTTAACTCCAATTCCTGCTGCTTTTTTTATCTTTCCTGCTTGATCTGAACGTATCGCTTCATCTAACTCAACTTTTCAAATCCCCTCCGCAATTTCTTGGTACAACTTTATAACAACTGCTGTAGTTTTAGATGTAGTCGAGTCGATACTGTTCAACTACGCAGTCTCACTCCGATAAAGTTTAACTCCAATTCCTGCTGCTTTTTTTGGCTCTTCTGCTTGATCTGAACGTATCGCTTCATCAACAAAAAAAAAGTCCACCGTACAGTCTTTATCTAAAAAAAGTTCACATTTAATCAACACCTAATCTATCTGATCCTATACTATCGATTGAAGTAAAGATAAAGAAGAAAATAGTTGACTCGTTTTATCATATAAAACAAACATGTTTTAGTGAAATTTTTTTCACTTTTCTTCAAACAATATCCTTGGATCTGAAGGATAAACACAGATTAAATGGAACTTTGATTAGATAACTTCAAATAAAATTTTTTATTTATTTTCTTTTTTTAGTCGTCCAGGCCTAGTCAGACACTGTGTTAATATAGCTATTTTGTTTTTGTTTTTTTTATTCAGATAAAAAAATGGAATACATATTTTATTTTTATGTGATTTAATTCTTTTAGAAATATATGTAGCAAAGCAAAGGATTAATTTTAATCCTTAGCTCATATCCTATGAAAATAGGATGAATTAAGATTTAAGATTCAAAATATTTTTAAATTTTGACAATCACATAAGAGAAAAGAGTTTACTTGTTATTTTTAGTCTATTTTACATTTTTTTTTGTTTTTCGTTTCAAAATACTGTTGTGCATTCTGTTGACTATTTAAATTCTTCTTCTTGTTATTGTAAGCTATGCTCAATGTTATTTTTTTTTTCGACTGGATTTCATTCCGTTTTTCTGTTGAAAACTGTGTATTTGTGTCTGTTTTGTTTTGTTATATGTCTACCTGTTGTACTGCTATTGGAAAAATTAAGAGAAAAAACCCACGAATTCATATATATATATATATATATTTTGACAATAAAGAGAATGAAAATAAATTATTCAATCGAATGCATTCATCACACGAGAAGTTGCCATTTTTACTAATATATCTTATCTCAGGAAAACTCAAAATACAGATCATTTTGAATTTGAGTTATCAAACATCTAACATGAAAATTTTAGAATATAAAATATAATATTATTTTTTGAGATTCTCTATTCATTATATCTTCTAGATAAATGGCTTCTAATATGAATAAGGTAATGGAGCGTTTTACGCCATGTCCATTTACATGTGTATCAACAAAATCAAAAACGGATGATGATAAACGTCGTCAGTTACCACGTGTATGTCGTTATCGATCAAAAGATCGTCAGATTGGTCTGTATTTTATTGTTGATCCAATTGATTCGATCATGGTCGCTTCTGATATTAGTGCAAATTTATTATTTCAACATCTAATAAATATTGATTTTACAGATGAGCAACACCTACAAATTCGAATGGAAATTTATTTTCAAAATATGTTTTTTGATTTGGATCATCGTCTATTACAAATGACATTTGATCGTACGGAAGAAAAAATAGCTAAAAATTTGCCATTTAACTCAGGTGCTGCAGAAAAAATTCTTCCATCAATTGAAGAAGCTGATTCGGGTTGTTTTGCATTTGCGGCTGTCACAACAAAAACACATATTTATATTGCCTATGTTGGTGAGTTTAGCTCTTTATTTTTAGAAACATCTCCGAAGAAATATTGTTGTTTTAGGTACAATTCGCGCTATTCTTATTTATTATGATGAAAACGGAGATTTAGTAGCATCCGATAATCGTCCACAATTTTATCGAGATGGTTCACTACATACAATTTTAAATGATGATGAACGTTTGAGATTGAAAAAACTGGATGTTGATGAAACATTTGCTCAAAAAAATTCAAAATATACACGATGTGTGGGGTAAGAATGTGAAATATAAAAGTAGAATATCATATTTAATTAGCTTAATATATTTTAGAAAATTGTGTGAAAAATTACTTTCGTCAACAGTCACGGCCAATGATTTAACCGAGTGTAAATGTAATCCGCTAAGTTGCGAGCCAGCCTATTGTGAAATTCCATTTAATTCAAAAGATTACGCACTTGTAATACTGACAGACAATATTTATCAAATGTATTTGAAAACAGGTAGAGATTTATAGTTGATTGTTTCATATAGTTAATTACACTACACTTTTTCCCACTACAGTAGTCACTTTGTAAAGGACTTGTATTGATCACCGGTAATGACTGAAATTAACCCTTTTACTGTTACCCGATGCATTTCTATGGCTTTATATGGACCGATATCATAAATAAGTTGCTCACTTAAAAAAAAAACGAATAAAAACTAGAATGCAATTGCGCTGCGCACAAGTTGTGATATCGACAGACTCTGTCTCTGACGGAACCTACTGCTCCAAGCAGATTCTACCAATAGGCTGTGTGCATTGCATTTTTGTTTTGATTTACTCAATATATATATATATTTATATATATTGAGTAAATCAAATCAATACAGATATATTTATTTAACATTTCGTCTCAAGAATAAATGGCGCCTGACAATCAACTCTTATAAATGTACGAAAAGTTTCTAAGTCCAAAAAACATTTTAGTTCTACTTGTGTAGCTTATGGCGCCGAATCTGGACTTGTGTTTGAAAAAAGAACGTGCATTGATCAATCTCCCATGTCTGGAGATTATCCTTCCGTTTTCAGAACTTTTCTACGTAGCGTAGTTCGCTAGATCACGTCGTGCACATTTTGTAAAAAAATGACTAAACAAAAAAAAAAAATCCCAGCAAAAACACATAAAAAAACTTTCTCATTAGACATGTGGAGAGATATCAAAGAGTAGACAAAATGACAATTTATTAATTTCCAGTGGATTATTATATCATGAATACAAAAGAAGCAAAATGACAGATTATTAGCATTGATATATCGACTAGAAACACTTTACAGTGGCGGCACAGTGGTTACAGTGGCTCGGAATTGAGAGTCTACCCCTACATTATCACATTGATGTTGTTCTCATTTCAGAACAAAAAAACTTACTAAAAAAAATTTATGATTTTTAGCAGTGTTTAGAGTATCATCTCTAAACCGTAAAAACAGGAATTTTCAAACAGGACAAAATTGAGCATACATTTTCAAAATCTAACGATTTTCGACTCATTGTGTGTATGTTTATATTTTTTCTTTCCTCTCAATAGTTGATTTCACATCTTGGATCTCATGTGTGTGTCTTAGAACTCCCTTCCTACATATTTTTTGCGATAAACATTGTTTATTCACAAATGCCATGAATATTCTAATAATCTTCGAATAAAAGCGATGAAAAAATTTGAAAGACGATTCTTAACATCAAATAGAATCGGACATGACGATTTTCAAGAACTTCTGTGCAAAAAATCATCCAGAAGTACAAAACAACAAAGTATGTTGGAAATTTGAATGGTCGTGCGAGAAAAGGTAAAACAACAATTCGGGTGGATCGCCTCTTTGAACGCAAACTAAGATGTGACCGAAAGGCAGAGCTTGAACAACATATGGATGTGATACATAAGAGATGATACTCTAAAAACCGCCAAATTAGTAGCTTTTTTTGTTCTGAAATGAGAACAACATCAATGTCTTCATGTAGGGGTAGACACTCAATTTTGGCCGCCACTATATTTTCGTTCTGGGTCACTTTTAAATACCTCAACTACGTGTAATGAATATGTAGTAGATATGTAATGGAGTAACGTGGAAAATTCTTAGTAGTATAATATAGCGTTGTTTTTTTCCTCCATGGATTCAACGCGCTCTATCTTTTGGTTTTATCAGATTCTAATTTGACGATGGTAGTGATTGATAATGGCATATTTCATAAATACTCGTTGCAAGATTTCTGTGCATTTAGAAAACACTATTTGTGTTATACTGATACGCTGGAAACATTAATAGGTTTATTTCATTCTAGGTATATGCGAAGATGATATTCCAAAAGATATTATTCGACTTATGACCGAAAAGAAAAATTCAATGAATTCGGCTGAAATCATTTTATCTGAATTGGAAACAAAATATTATCGACAAATGTCTGATGATACTGTTGATTCTGATCATGAACTACAACAACCTCATTTTGATTATCAACATATGGGCATGTTAATACATTATTTTTATCATCCCGAAGCATCAAGTGCTGTTGGTAATTCTACTACAACAACAAATATACCAAAGTCTATTCAATTACGTCCAGATGATGGTGAAATAACTTTTTCGGAAATAAATAAGTTTATAGCTACACATGATGAATTACAAAAACAACGTATACAAAAAACAGATTTACAACGTTCAAATAGTAAACATGAATATGAAGTACATTTACAAAATGGAACAATTGAATCGTATGTTAACTTTGATAAATATGAAAAATTATTAAGTGATAATCCTGATTTAAATCAAACTATTAAAACAATTACAGCTTTATTAGAACATGAAGGACCAGAAACATTGTTGTATGAATTTGAAAAATTAATTTAAAAATTATAGATGCTCATGTATCTTTATCTACTACTCATTTATCCTCGTACGATGTTTTCATTGTCATACAAGAAACTACAGTTGAAACTTGCATGAAAAGTTATTTTTTTAATTCAGTTTTAGAGCATGTTTTGAAAAGTTATCCAAGAGAGCTTTTTTATATTGTATTTTTATACGTGATATAGAAGAGATTTCTCTTCATTTTCTTAAATATACTTAAATATATATATATTCATCTGGTAAATATACCGAGTATACTGTTTTAGATAAGATGAATCTTAATAAGACTTGGTTTTCATTTAGCAATGTCAAGACTCTGTTTACAAACCAGTAGTTCTCTTTCTGTGGCTTAATTATTCGTTACTTTTAGTTTGTATACAAATTTATGCCATCCTTAGTGGATGCAAAACAATTTGGAACGTTTCTTCATCTCGTAGATAATTTTCTGTAACTCAGACGCATCGTCTGCTTCTAATATGCGTATTCATTTAAAACAGACATAACCACAATTGATCCTGTAACAATTTTACATTGAAGTAATTCATTACTGCAGGCAAACAGACAGAATTTTGAATATTAATTATGGGGGGCGATGACCTGATCTCGTGGATTTTAGAAACGATTGAGAATAATATCACAGATATAAGTAATCGTTAGAAAAACTCTTTTTAGGAGTTTATCCTACACATCTTTTTCTTTTGTATATTCGATTTCAACTAAACCTACAGAGAGTAAAGTCCATCGTGTGAGTCAGATCATCACTAAAATTGGCTTCTGTTAAATAACGTATATTGTTATTTCGCGAATGATGTGAAACAACTAAACGAAAGACAATATGACTCAACTGGGAACTTTCATTACGTAACAGCTCCAGTAATCGCTCTAGATGCTCAATGAGAGCATCAATACATACTTAAGACCACAATACATAAATCTGGTGATTGCTGTTAACAGCAAAGTCCTGTGCTAAGCTTTCTGGTAGGCGGTTCATGTTCAAAGCTCGAGTGACTGGGCTCAAAGGTATGATGTCTACTCTGCAACAAGACCCAAATTCAAAAATCAGTCTTGGTCATTTTGTACAGTTTTGTTGAGACTTTCAAACAAAAAAGCAACTGGTTAGTGCACATTACAAAAGTGCACTAGCTTACTGATCGACGGTCGTACCAAAATGGATGTAGTGAGAAAATTCAGTGTGTCCACTAGTGCATTTTCGATTTTGTAGGAAAATGCTTAGAAGTATCTAATGCGAAGTCGAACAGTATTTGGTCGCATCTTATTTGACACAGAAGAGTCTGCTCTGCAAATCTACATATAGAAAAAAGGAAAGAGTGAAACATAGGATGAGATCGAGAGTAGTCCTGATTACGCCTGCTTGTTGAGTCTTTACAAAACTTTAGTAAAAGTATACAAATCACCGGTAGACTATACACGTAAAAACGGATTATTACACTTCAACCATTAAATGAACTCTTAATATATGGCGTTTTTATTAATAAAATTTAATTAATTTTGTGTTACAGACTGCCAGAGATGAAAGGTTAGAGTCCCCTCCTACAAAAAAACAATTATTTTCAACAAAACTCGATTTATATGATCACCATCATGTACCCTAAAGTATGTACTTTTAGAATTTGCATTGCCTTATAATCTACCGGTGTTTGTTGTTATTTTTACTCAAGTTTTGTAGACTGATTTCGAAAAAGTTGAATTTCTTGGTAAAGAAAAAGAATTTTCAAAAAAGGATACAACTTTTTCCTCATAAGTATCGCGATCAGAATGAAGTAAAAGAAAGAATTTTATATCCAAAACCCTAGGACTATATAGGTTTGCAAAATTGACTGGCAGTCCCTTTACCATTCTACACGTGTTTTGCAGATTCTAAGTTCATTTTAGCTCCTAAAAATCCTAAAATTAGCTTTCTAGACTCAGTTTTCAATGGAAAATAACAAAACATAGTTTTGGAATTTTAAAGGACGACCAAACATGAAAATTTTGCGTATTATTCAAAAATTTCTCATTTTGTACATTTTAAAAAAATCAATATTTTAAAATTTTTTAACCAAAAAATGTCTGTTGACAATCTGAAACTTACTTAACTGTTTTATCTCGTTGAATTGACCTATATTCCTTATGTTACCATCAATAATAATGGGGACTGATTCTCTCTTTTGGTGGATACAAGTAAATGAATTTCTTTCTGTCAAAAATAGCTTATAACAAGTCTGAAATCAAGTTTTTTCCAGATAACTCGATGAGCGCTATCCAACCATGCCAAAAAACATACTATCTTTTTGAATTGTTAGCACCTTAAATTTTTAGCTATTTTTATGAAGTTGTTAAAACATTCTTGACCCCGATCCCAGCTCCGTCGGTCACATAACTACGAAAAGGCAGGATTCATACGTATCAACATGATATATACGAATAAGAGAAAGTGTATTGACTAGTTTATAAAACATCAATATTTGATGTTCTAGGTAGCAAGGATCATTTGCTTGGAGTAAAAGTATTCTAAAGTCTTGCAGGTTAACCTAAACCTACCCTAACCTAACCTAAAGGTTAGGTCAAGTTTAGGTTGCTGAAGTTGTAGGTTAGATTAGGACTAAGTTACGAAGATCGTGGATTAGGATAGATTTAGGTTATGGGAAGTTTTTAGGGGAAAATGGAGTATTAATTTTTCATGCCTGAGTACACTAGCAATTCCACTACTGGCATGCCAACTAGTAGTCCAACAAGCGAAAGGATTTTCAGTGGAAGCGAAGAGTTCTAGAAAAAAGAAGGCAAAATTTGAACAGTGATGTAGTTAATGATATGTTATTTTTATGAAATTTTAGAAAAATGTATTTCTATTGTTAAAGAGAAATAAATAAACAAGTATTTGAACAAGTGAAAAATATGTAAACAGTTAAAGTTATAAAAACTTTATAGGACAAAAAATTTCTAGGGTAGGTTAGGTTAAGTTTAGGTTGGATGAACTTTAATAGGTTAGGGTATAGGTTACAATAAACTCTTAACCTAAAGGACTCTAAAATATTCATGGCTTAGTATAAGATATTTATAATGTTGTTGTATTCATCAATCAATAACTAGAAGAAACTATTCATTCTTAACTAGACAATTGGCTGAACTATTAATGTTTAGGACGGATGACAGCGTGTTTGGTATTTCTGTTCTCATTTTTCCATCTATACACGATTTTAATCCTATTTGATGTATTTTTATATATTTGTCGAAGTTAGATTTTTTCTGAATTTTCGTCCTTCATAGGATTTCTCATGTCATTTTCCACCTTCGGATTTTGTAATAAAACAGTCAATACATATTTTTTAGAGAATTGAACAGACTATTTTTCTTAAAGTGTGTATCTTCATGATATTTTATTATATCATTCATATGTTTTCCAGTGATAATAAATATTGATGGAATAAGAGCTGTTGCATGTGATAGAACAAAAAAAGATAGGTCTTTAGTTCTCATAGCAGAAAAGTAAACATCTGATAAGGAGAACACGTCTCCTATATTTTCTCTGACAAAAAAGCTAACAAAAAAATTGTCAAGGATATTTGTTTCTTTTTTTTCTCCTTCATTATTCCGAGAAGATAACTATAGGTTGTGATTCGAAGGGTTATTGACTAAGTAACGTTTCTGTTGTTGTATTTTCACTAGTAAAATATTCTTTTTTTCTTCTGTAAATATTAAAAACTAACGTTTCTTAGAAGAAAAAAGCGTTTCACACTAAATTCGAGTAAATGCGAGACATAAAAATGTATTTGCGTTAAAATAGTGAAGCGGATGAATTAATCTGATAAACCAAAAGAGTTATCTGTTTAGAACCTTTTATTACGCAGTATAAATATGTTTGTATCATAAACATCATTGTTCAATTAAATAAGTATCAAATTCAGCTCTCTTACAATCTATAAACCTGAACAACTAAACAAGAAAAAAAATGATTAAACAATCAACACCAGGTATGCGATTGTTGCATTTTTCTCTATACATTTCTCTACTTTTCAGTTTCTTTCATGTGATAGCACCATTCTGGATTTCAATTCGTGTAGCCGTTGCTTTCATTGGTTTTTTGGGAATGGTGTGTCATTATAGTCAAAAAGTGAACATGAGTGTTGCTATTGTATGTATGGTAAATCATTCGGCGATTGAACATCATAAAAATATAATAATAGGACAAACTGAAGAAGATCTAAAATGTCCTAGAACAATTTCATCAAAAATAGTAAGTGGTACTCGATAGATAATTGATCTGTAAGATGAAAAGCGATTAGATCTATTTCTCTTCTTTTTGTTCTGTATAGGAAGGACCATTTGCTTGGAGTAAAAATATTCAAGGCTTAATATTAGGTATCTATAATTCATACTAAGGAAAATACTTACTTCAAAAAAACATTCATTTCTGTTTTAAAGGTGCATATTTTTGGGGTTATTTGATCACAGAAATTCCCGCTGGTTGGCTAGCAGCGAAATTTGGTGCTAAAAGGCTATTTGGTTATGCGATGGTCATTTCGGGTATTTTTACAATCGCAATGCCATCTGCAGCCCAAGGTCATTGGATTATATTAAGTTTATTGCGAGTGTTTGTTGGACTTCTACATGGAGTAATCTGGCCTTGTATGGCTACCATTATGGCGTAGGTGAACTAAGAACAGTCTAAGATATAGTATCAAAAAACAATCTATTTTAGTCATTGGGCTCCACCAACAGAAAGAAGTAGATTGATGGGATTTATGAATGCTGGAGCACAAATTGGAAATGTTATCACACTACCACTGGGTGCTGCTATGTGTACATGGCGCTTTATTGGAGGTTGGCCATTAATTTTCTACTTCTCAGGTAAATAAGTTTGATAAAACTGCACTTCTGTTTTCTACGTTATTGTTTATTTTCACCAGGTGGAATCGGGTTTGTATGGGGTATCGTATGGCTCTACTTTTATGCCGATAGCCCTGAAAATCAGCGATTTATATCTCTACGTGAAAAAACTT